TATATATATATATATATATACAGATGTACAGATATGTACAGAGATATATATATATATACTTAGACATGTATTATTTTCTCACAACCCAGGCAGCCCAAGGGTCGGGAAAACTTAATAGTTGAAGTAATGCTTTGTTTAGAATAATACATATTTTTGTTCACGAAGTCCAGACTGGAATACTTTGTACGCAGCTTCTAGTAGAATGTCATACAGAACATCCCCAGGTTATATCGTGATCAAGTATATAGATATAAAAATTATATCTGTCACATTTCGCATCGCAAACATCCGCTACAACAAAATATGCTGACCTTCATTACAGGCCAAGCTGCTCGCGAATCGGGGCACAAGGGATCGATGAAGATCTCCAATTGTATATTGTCGGCTGCCTGCCCTGCTACTCTCACACCATCAGGCGACTTGGGGATATGTGCCTGTGATAGTACCCCTAATGCTGATACCAACATCAGAAAGATACTTAAAGGACGAAATAACATTGTTGATATTGGAACGTACTATCGTTTGTATATTGGTTTTACTATTGCTCACTAGTAGGGAGCTTGTTATGTGAATGATACATGTAAATGTAGTGATGAGTCCACCCTGCAAAATGTAGAAACAAAAACTCGTTGTCGAGTATGTATGTCAGATACAATTTGCGTGTAGCCTCTGCTTCTACTTTTGTGTATTGATTTTTAGTGCCACTCTATATATATAGATCCTACATATCTAAAATGTACCAATGTCACATAGCCTTCTAAATTATACAAGCAAGAGAAGGCTATATATGCCAATGTCAACCTATCTTGTTTTTTTAAATAAAAATAAACTGAATATATACAATGGTTGTTTCGCTCACGGAGTCAATCTGTCATAGTCTCAGACTCATTTCAGTCTCAGTCTCTCAGACGGTATGTAGTTTTGAGATTGTAATTGTTTTTTTCAATAATTCAGAGTGGGTAACCATAGAAACTCTCAAACCGAAAAAACAAAAAACAACAAAAGTACAGACTACATTTCAATTTCAAACAGCCTTATTGTCGTGTATTATTATAGAACATTCAGTTGCAATTCACCACTCATTCTACTTATTTACAGCAAATAGTTCTTTTAAAACACAACTATAGGAGCAGTTTAAAATTAAACTATTTACTCCTGGACTACTCGTATGCATTGTTTTAAACCCCAAAGTCCCGAACCCGAAAACTGCACCCATACTCCCACAGCCCTGAGCCACAGTCAACTCACAAGAAGTGATGCTGATTTGTTCAGATTTATCGCAACAGTCAACTCACAAGAAGTGATGCTGATTTGTTCAGATTTATCGCAACAGTCAACTGTGTGAACATTGCCCCACCTTTCAATAATAACTTTTTGTCCCAAAGTCTGAATTGAAAGTCACCAATAGAGTCATATGTAGGGACATTGCATAAAGTCATTGGCCAAAGGATAAAGAATGAGTCATGGTATTATACCGTCGGTTACTATAGTGAGAGCTAGACAGGTAGCTTAGAGTATCTAGTAGCAGGTGCCATGAGCCACCAACTGGGTGGCAGATCGGTAGATCACCTGTCGGAGTCCTCACCTCTGATAAAATAAGAGAGGAGCTCTAGGCCTGTAGCCTGCATGTATTTACGTAAAAATATATATTTGAATATATGATACAGACTTGCCGCAGACTCGCAACAGCATTCATATATACACACCACCAAGTATATCCACATATATTTACTTGAGCAGACAGCCGCATATACACATATATACATATAATCATATCATACACACACACACACTGGCAATATGGGAAACCAAGAAGGAGGAACGGCAGTGGCCACACCGTCGTCAGGCGGCTTTCCAGACATCAGTTCTATGATGTCTGGCATTTCAGGCGCACTAAGGGAGAACCCTACCGTACAGGAAATGAGTACAGACATGTCGGACCCTAACTTCATGGCCAAGGTCAAGAAGATGTTCAAAACAAGGTATGTATGTATGTGTCTGTCTGAGAACGTACGAAGTATGCATCTGTTTATTGAATTGGGACGTGTAGTCAACTCTACCCTTATATAT